GCTCAGGGAGGTTGCTGTGGTCCTCTCGTAGAGAGATCAGCCACTGTGCATTGCTGTTGTGGGACGCCTCCCTTTCCCATATGAAACAACAAGGCTTGGAGCCTCTGTTTGGCAGTTTCAAGTGCTTCAGGTATGGGCATCTGCCTGTACTTTCTGGGTACTGGTCTTTTCATTGTACCCTTGTGGAGCTCTGACAGTTGGCTCACTTCCCTCCTTGTTACCTTGATTTTAGCCTCTAACCGTCTTTTCCATGGTGGGTATTGGGTCTCATGGTTGCTCTTATAGCCAAGTATCTCAAGGATCACTGATGCTGAGTTGTAGATCAACTCATTGGTTTCTGTTATGGTGTTGGTAGGGATCGTTCTCAATGCTGCATTCACATTCTCAATGAGACTTCCTGATGGTACTTCACTCAGCCGTTGTAATTGGCGCCGGGGAGGCCTGGTTGTCATTCGGGTCATGATTCTCTCTCTCAGGTGAGCAGGTCTCGCTCACTGGGGCCGTGTATCCCCTCACTGGGTGGGGACTTGTAGTTAAGTCCCCACAGTCATGACATCCGGGTTCCTCCCTTTTGCCGTAGCATTTGTGTTGTATCTCGTCAATCTCAAGTTGTGATAGCAGTTGCCGTTTGCGGATGTTGGAACACTGAGCTACTAGTTGTTTAGCGCTTAGTGTTGACTGGGGATGTCGAAGTAACCATTCCTTCCCCAGTCTTTGCATGTAACCCCTCTGACTAGGGTTACTTGAGTAGTAGCATTCCAACAGATCCACATTTTCATCTCTCGCCCATTTCCGTCTTGTTCCAGTAGCCCATTTGTCATCAAGGTGCTCTGGTTCCCCAACACCTGACGCAGACCTTGTTTGGCCGGGCGACGTCTGAGCCGGCATGTTATGCAACTTAGTATCTCTCATGGTCTGAGGTAGGCAGTAGCTTGAAGGGTCTTGCCTAAGGACCCAGACTGGATTCGAACCCTGCCCTCTCGGGTGATATACTGATGCCTTATGTATTGAGCTATCCAGTCAGCTACATATATATATATATATATATATATATATATATATATATATATATATATATATATATATATATATATATATATATACACATACATACAAGGCAACAAATCCATTTTCTCCATTCTTCAGAAATCTAAAGCCACCTTGAAGCTTGATGGAAAAATGTCAAAGTCCTGTATATCAATTTCCGTTCTCTTCAAAAGCATAGACTATAATCTTTCACATTCAAATGCAGCACATAACAAAAACATCAAAGAGTAATTTTTATCTTTTAGCATAAATAAAAATTTTAATTTCATCCATTTTCTTCCGCTTTATCTGGGGTCGGGTCGCAGGGGCAGCAGCTTCAGAAGAGGCTCTCAGCGACCACCCGAGCGCCATGCCGCTTCACCCGCTGGTCCCCACCAACAAACAATTAATTAGAAACCATTTAAAAAACCAATCACACTGATGATGCAATGCAACTTGTAATACAGGTAAAATTTTTAATTTTTGCACAGAATAGTGAGCACAAAAGTACTTACAGAGGAAACCCATCCAGAGCAGATTGTGCTGCATCCTCACAGCTGGACTTCCTGCAAAGTTAATGATGAACGCTTCTGCTTTTCGTTAGCTATAATGTTGACCGAATAAGGAGTAGCATCTGCTGCACAGTTGTGACCAACATGTTTCACACTTCAATGCTAAAAATATCATGTCTGTGGTTCACTCTCACGTCTGCGGCTGCGTTTCCCATAGCAGTTTTTAGACATAGGAACTTTTTCTGCAAGGCATCAGCTTGTTTTATCTCGAAGGTTCTCATTGAAATTTCTGTTGCAATAATTGTTTCAAAGTAAATTTCTTTTAAGCTTCTTTTTGTTCATGCTAATCTATTTTTCTTGGACCCCTTTAGTGGTCAAACTATTAAAATGTCCAAGGATTGTTTTGGGGCTAGAAACCAGACGTTTGCTCTCAGCTTTAAAGCCTACTTCCTCAAATTCACATTTATTTTTATGCTTGCTTTTCTGTCAGAACTCTAAAGTTAAAGGCATGCTTTGACCCCAGCATACTGAAGATTTGGTGGAAGCGGTGGCAGTGTGGTTTCAACACCTATAGCAGGAAATCAACTTGAACATGTGAACAAAGTTTAATTTCTTCCAATGCAGTAACTTGGAAACTAAACTTTAAAAAGAAGCACGACGTGTCAAGTAAAATCTTACTGATCTCAGTCATTTAATGTTAGTAAACATGTAATAACTAATGGTAAACTTGACTGTTTAACATTTCCGCATTCAATTAGGTAACATAAACACAGAGAGAAAAAGGAAGGAAATACTGAACAGAAAAAAGAGATTTTGCTTTGACTTTTTATTTGATCTTGATCTCATCTTGTTTGCTCAAGATGACACGTTCCAAACATTTGGTCGCGAAAGACAAATACACAAATAAGCACATTAGCTTAATCTTTTCCGTCTGCTCATATTCACTCCTCACCCCGATGCTTGAGGTCTCGGCTTGTGGTAAATAAACAGTTCGGTTTCTGCATGAGCACTCATGATGAGGACCGTTGAGTATTAAAATGCATCTCATGGATCATGAAAAGTATGTCCTTTGTTTATACTGAACTGTAATCATAAAAATACTCATTTACCACGACTCACATTATCTTGAAATTCCAGAAAATCACTTTGAGAAGCAAATTTACCTCGTTTACACAGTTAAACGGCAGTTCTTCCATATACTATAAAAAAAACAACCACTTTTGAATTGAAAGGAAAAAATAATATTTTTACATGTGACCCCTGTTTACCATTGTACTATTTAGAAATTAAAATGAATGTTAGTAATTTTAATTAACTCAAAACATGAAAAGTTTAGTTTGTTTTAATGTCACAATGGCAAGGGAATCATTTCTTTTTACAAGGCGTGTAACTAATATAACTAGTAAAACAAAATAAAGCAAAGTAAAGCAGAGTTGGCAGTATAATAAGTAACTGGTAACGCTGAGAGGGATTATTTTAAACACATACAAAGCAACAGCTAAAATCAGTTTTATGAAAGGTTAATATTTGGTCTGTCACAATAGATCCAACAAAAACTGCATGAGTTAGAAGCTGCAGACTGAGCTACACCTACATGGTGTTTTTGTTCTCTGGTTCAGGGTTGATTTCAGAATAAACAGCCTCTTCTTTTGCTCCAGGCTCCCCCTACCTGTGAAAGGACAACTGTAAGACTTCAATGTACCTATAATGCACAAATTACTTCTTTTTTTTCCTTTTATGCTCTTTAAATTAAACTTTAAATTCCTACAATTTCTTTTCCCCTGTAATTTCTTAATCTAAGTACAATTAGGTAATAAGCACAAATCCACTTTTTTTTTATTTTTTAATCTTTTATCACATGTCTAAATATTTATATGCTGACATACATGAGGACTTTCTGCAGTGTGTAAAACATTTAAGCATTTATATTTTGTCCCAAAAAAGCTTTGTTTTTGTCAAACATTAGTTGATAGAGATGGAAAGCACCATATTGTCAAGTTGGAGTTGACTTTACCTTTCATTCCTGAATCCAGACAAGAGTAGGCAGCGCCCCCTCTGCTGGTTTGTTTGGAGTACCTGTTCAAATAAACAATTTCTATTAAAACATTTTTGTTTTTTTATCAAAACAAGGCAGATTTTTTTTCTTCTTTAAGTTGTTTTTGTGACTTACTCTCTTTCCCAAAGTTTTTCAGTTCAATGAGAGAGTAGGTTACATCTCTGGGTTTATCTACCACTGAAACATTTCAGGATTTTTCAGATCGGTTACTTGCATTTGTGCATGTAGCAGTAATATCTGGTGGAAAAGATTCACTTTACCATTTCCACCGGTGCCCGAGAAGTTGACCGACTCATAGATGTGATCGTCGCCTGCAGTGCAGGAAAAAAAGTGAATATTAATTTAAACACCGTCATCTAATTCTGACCCCTGCAGAGGAGAGCTGCTCTCATCAGTTTCGTTCTTATTGAATCCATTATTTAATCTGCAACTGATTTTTAACAACTTTCACCTAAAACAGTCTTAACTCTTGTTAACGATCCTAAAGTTCTGTTCACTCCCGTTGGCCTATGGGTCAAAAACGACCCGCCCTGACAAAAGCCCCATCATAAAGCAAATTTTAAATCCAAAATCTATCTTGCATGATGAAGCAATCTGTTATTTATCAATTCAACTCAATTTTTTTCATTTATTTTTGTTATACAATACAAAAGACAATCAACAGGACTGCACTTTTTATTTATTTATGTTTTTTTCCCACAAGCCAAGTGTTTGCAGCAGTTTTCGGCTTATCATTGCGATTATATAAATGTGAAGTAATTGCTTCTGAATTAATTACACTGGAAAGGGAGAAAGAAAATAAACTATTTGGAACTTTTTTGTCAACAGTTTATTCCTTTAAACTTCTTTCGGAAGTGAATGATAAAAATATTTATTGTAATACAAAAAAAATTGCAGCGTACATTTTTTCACAAAAGTGTAAAAATTTTAGATATTTGAGGCGAAGTGATGCACTTTACGTAAATATGTGAATACCAAATATATTCTTTTAAAATATCTTTCTTAAAATTGTAAAAAAATTCTCCTACTGTTAATGTATCATACATTCACAATTACCGATTTCACCTTTGGACCGCCTGTAGTGCCACAGTAACACCAGAAGATGAACCAGGAGGACTCCACCAACAGGTCCGATGATCATAAGGACGGGAAATGAAGAGCTGACCGGAGTGGGCACTGTTACTGGAAAGAAGGACTCATTTCATTTTTTACAGTACAATTACTTCTAACTCAATTGTTAGAAAAACTGATTTTACATGTACAATCTGAAATGTAAACTAAAACGAAAATAAAACTCAACAAAAAATGTCTACAGAAGACAAACTTTGAGCACTTTTCTTTGGGCCCTGCCTGCGTTGGTCACGTGTCGGGCTGGCCCAGATGGACAAAAAACCATCATGACTCACCTGACACCAGTAATGGCATCTTTTCACTCCACTTTGTCACAGAACGCAGGTCGTCTCTGTTTCTGCACCGACACAAGTAGTCTCCACTGCTGGACTCAGAGACTGTGAAAGTCAGGATTTTTTCCTTTGCCATTTTTAAAGTTGTTCCATTTCTCTTCCAGTCGCATCTCCACTCAATGGTTTCTCCTCCCTGGATCTCACATGTCAGAGTGATCGTCTCACCACTGATGATATGAGAACCTTTTGGTTGTCGAGTCACAAAAACCTTGTTGGAAACTGTTTCCATTAAATATGGGCAGTTTTGAAAAAAATAAAAATAAAATACATAAAAAAACCTCTTGAGTTTCCTCTTAAATATAATCAATAATCAACAGATGCATTTAAAGAGAAAATTAACTTACAGCTTATTGTGATGCTGACTTTATCACTTACAAGACTATAGAAGTTTGTATTTCCTCTCATTCCATCACATCTGTAGATTCCTCCTTCTGTTACATTAATATCTCTGTTTTCTTCATCAGTGAGTTGAGTCTCAGGTGTGTCTTTGGTCTTTCTCCACCATCTGTACCTCCATCCAGCAGAGGGCTCCACTGAGCAGCTCAGTCTCACACTGCCCCCTACTGGTATGGTTGTAGGACCTGCAGTCAGTTTGGCTTTGGGTTTTGCTGCTGTTAAAATAAAAACTTTAATTATTCAGTCACCGATTTTACATATTCCACAATCACATTTAGTACAACATATTCAAATGTCTCAACATAAACAATGACAAAACTCCATAATTGACTTTCTCTACTGGGAATAAATGATGGGTTATCTTAGTTATTTTAATGACCAAAGTAAAAAAAAAAAAGTAGAAGATATTTTTCTGCACAAGGATTTAACTTAAAGTAAAGATGTGAAGCAACATCATAACTCTCCATAATCCAGGTGAAAAATCCCTTTGGACTCAGTTGAAACAGTTAATTTAAAGTCTTGAAGAAAAATGTATCTTCATTTGGAAAGCAAAACAAACATGGTCTATTTCCCAATCAACTATATCCTCATTGTCCTTTGTTTGTGGTTTTATGTCAACACCAATATCGATTCTAATCAATGGGGGAAAGCAATTTGCAGCCATTAAAATGTAGTGATAAAGTTCATCTACATGCATCTTGTGGCTGCTTTACAGTGAATAAAAGGTATATTTATCGAGTGGAAAAAATTTAAACAAAAATGTTGATAGCAATTTATAAAAAATGTTAAAATGCAAAAATAACAAAAAGTTCATGTCATGCAATTTATTTCAATGTAAATAAAAAGCACACAAAAGACTTGGAAAATATAAAAGCATCTAAAATTAAAGATTGAACATTGTCTTTTAAGTCATTAGTAAAATGTGTATATGGTTAAATAAGACATTCAACTGATCCCAGTTCAAAACCAGCAGGAAGCGTAAACCAACACTATTAATTCATTATTTGGCTGAATATTCATCAGACTCTGTAAACTTCATTTTGTACATTTACAGACATTTGTAAGTAAATGTACATTTAAATGTAAATTTGTACATTTAAATATAAAGGTAATTTTATTTAAATTGCACATTTTCAGCAACAAGGCAATAGGAGATGCTGTACAGGAATTTATAGGAAAAACAAACAAAATAATAAACCAAAGGAAAGAGCAAAAGAAGAAAAATAATCTAATGTTTATGCAAAATAAATAAACAAGATCCATCTATTCAAGGAGGTTTAGTAAGTATGAGTAAATATCCTCTGGATTGGAAGATTAAGAGTCTAAAAAGTAGTTGCTAAGGTAGTTTTTCTGGATTTCAAGTTCTAATACATGTTCTGGGATGCTAAATAAGAGCAAGATTTAAATCTTCCAGATTAAATTGACTTTCAATATTCTGCATTAATCGAGGGGAACTTTCAGACAGATGCTCTGCTAATATTTAAGCTCTGCTTGCTTTGCTTTTTGCTGAGCTGGTCCTGATAAATAAAAAACAAACAAACAAAAAAAAACATCATGACTCACCTGACACCAGCAATGACATCTTTTTACTCCACTTTGTCACAGAATGCTGGTCGTCTATGTTTCTACACTGACACATGTAGTCTCCACTGCTGGACTCAGAGACAATGAAAGTCCATTCTTTACCATTTGCCAGTTTTACAGTTGTCCCATTTCTCCTCCATTCGTATCTCCACTCAAAGGTTTCTCCGCCCTGGATCTCACATGTCAGAGTGATCAACTCACCACTGAACATCTGAGGCCAGTTTGGTTGTCGGATCGCAAAAACCTCATTGGAAACTGTTTACATTATATATGGGCCGTTTAAGAGAAAAAATAATAAAATGCATTAAAAAAACCTCCAGAGTTTCCTCTTAAATGTAATCAATAATCAACAGCTGCATTTAAAGAGAAAATTAACTTACATCTTATTGTGATGCTGACTTTATCACTTATAAGACTCTGGAAGTTTGTATTTCCTCTCATTCCATAACATCTGTAGATTCCTCCTTCTGTTACATTAATATTTCTGTTTTCTTCATCAGTGAGTTGAGCTTCAGGTGTGTCTTTGGTCCTTCTGAACCATATGTACCTCCATCCAGCAGAGGGCTCCACTGAGCAGCTCAGTCTCACACTGCCCCCTACTGGTATGGTTGTAGGACCTGCAGTCAGTTTGGCTTTGGGTGGAGCTGATGTTAATAAAATATAATAAAAATGTCCGTTAACACGTTAAGTTATTCTTCAGTCAGATTGAGTACAAATATTCAAATGTCGCATCATAATATGTAACAAAACACAATAATTGAGTTTCTCTGATGAGAATAAAGTTTTATGTTAGTTTAACCTCCCAAATAAAACAACAAAAATTATGCTTTTCTGTGATAGCTCACCTAATGAAACATAATTTTATTAATAAAAATAATAATTCTAATTGTATTTCACAGAATTAATGTTTTCTGTAGATGTTGCAACTTCTGATACTTCACAAGAGGTTAAAAGTTCATTTTGGGAGGAACACAAAAAGCTAAGCTGATTTTCTGCATTTGGATTTAACTTACAGAGGATTAAGCATGTTTATTAGCTGTGCAAGTCTCTATCATGTACAAATCTAGTTGAAAAAAATCATTTGGACTCACCAGTAACAGTTATAGAGATCGTGTCACTGCACTTGGCATCACTGGAGCTCTTCCTGACACCACAGCACCGGTATTCACCACCCTGATCAAGTTGGATAGATGGTAATGTGAAGCTTTTGTGCGGGTTGGATTGAAGAATTTTTTCTTCATTTCTTCTAATCTCATATTCCCAGTCGGTGTCTTCGCCTTCATCCATGTCACAAATGAAGGTCACGCTCTCTCCAACATGAAAAGTCGACCAGTCGGGGTCAATAGTCAGGTCTGCGTCTGAAACGCAGCACAATACATTTAGCACATTTATCATGGAGTTTATAAAGGTGTGCCTCATTCTCAGTATATAAATAAATTTGAAGAAAAAAAGAGAAATACCGTCAGCACGTCCGCAGCAGAGGAGTGTATTCATCACTAAAATAAAACCTAAAACCTTTGTCATTATAAACATTAAAAGTTCACAGAAACAAGAACAGAGTCCCTGCGTCGCGTCCAGCTCTGACACTGACACTTTCTTCTCATATCACCGAAGTTTTCGATCAGTATTACACCAGCTTCCTGTTCTGTGAGCTCATTGTCACTTCTTAAAAAAAATTTTTTATCTGAAAAACATCACGGATAAAGACGAAATATTACCACAAAATATTTTGACACTTCCCACACAGTGTCAAACATCCTTAAACTAAGGTGACTCACAAATAACAAAAAGATGTACCCCAGTTACACGGTTTGAGGTAACCATTTGTTTAAAGATCATTTTCAGTTTAGCTCAAATTAAAAGATTCATTTCCTCAAAAAGTAGACGGAAATACAATGTGCAAAACAAACAAAAAGTTCTCAAAAACATCATGTAAATAGGAGAGAACAAAGATAACACATTTTACAAATCATTACATTCGTGAACCTTCAAATATACAGTATACAGTATTTTTCTCATTAAATAAAAGATAAGTTTAAAACTAAGTGAAAAAATAACTACAAGAAAAGAGATGTCAGTGCACATACTGTCAAAAGTGAACATTTTGTTCATTTTATCTGCGCCATTCAAACACAGGAAGTGACATCGCTGCAGAACAAGCCTGACACACGCAGAGAAGAGTTTCGTAAGCTGATTTCCAGGCCTGATAATGACTGCCCGTGGGTCAGAGACATATTTTTTGCACTTTATTTTGACACAAGTTGCACTGAATTCATCAAAACAACCTAAAGAAAGATTTCTATTTTTTCATTATAAAACCAGTGACGTCATTCCTTTGAGTTTTATCATGGAGAACTGACACTTCCTGTCCACCTAACAGAAGCCATTTTGGAGAAAACAGTCAAATAAGGCTTCAAGCTTTAGTGCATAGAGCCTTTAATCAATTGGTTGACATGTTATTTTATTAAATACACAATCAAATCACAATTTGTTGCACACGTTAACAACCTCATTGCTCATCTTGTTGATCTTTCTGCAGATTGTGGAATCAGTGTTAATACCAATAAACTGACCAAGCAATGAAAGCCCACATCTAGGATCAAAATATGCAATCATTTTCCACCCATTTGAAAATCCATTCTTTTGGCTTTTAACTTGCAATGGACTGAATATTCATGCAGACATCTTCTTGGACTGCAAACTCTAAAACTACTTTTTTTTCTTAATACTGAACAGAACTTTAAAACAGCCCAATCAACATCATTAATGTTTTACATACCATGCATTCATGAACTTTCACTCATTTTATGGAAAACAGGCACCGATATTCAAACTGTGTGACAGTTTTGTATTTATCACAAACATAGCATAACTGTAAAAGCTACAAATTCAGCTGTGAAGGTAAGAAGGGAGTTTGCAATTTTCAGCTTTAATTTTATTTCTCAAGAATCTCACAACATTTCAATTTATGAATGTTCCTGTTTATGACATGAGCAAAAATGTAAAACTAGAGCACATTTGATTCTTGAAGAGATATAGCATGATTAAATCATCTTTGGCATCTTAAAGCTGCAGAAATACAATAACCATCACAACATATAATGAAAACATGGCAGCAGAATTTCCCAGTCGTTTCTGATCATATAACAACCTGGAGTATCTGTTGCTGCCGGACTCCAATTTCCAGCTGAGAGAGGAAGAGAGAGCATATATTGGGATAATCAAAATGTGATTTAATTTATCCAAAAGAAATATTTGAGATAATAAAGTTTTTACATGAATGAGGAGGACGTTATTTACCACTGGGGTCTAAAACAGAAACTGGATATCGAAACAGTTTATTTTTAAAAGGGGCAGTATTATTTCCCAGGCACACATGGTCAATTTATAACACAATTGAGCAATTTTTACTTGTTATAAAAACGCAACATATATCAAATAAGACTTGAAAGAAATTTGACTTTGTAACTTAAAACCCTGGAATTGGGCCTCTGTCTCTTTAAGAAGCTCCTGCTCTTTCTGAAACTCCGCCTCCAGGAAGTCATAACAGCATCGCTCCTCTGTTAACCCTTTAACAAACGTTTTTATTAGTGTTGAACTGAGAAGTTGCTCGTGTAGTGAGCTCAGGAGATACCCATTCTAAAACACCGGGTGTTTGCCACTCGCTGCAGGCTAGTCTGAAGGAGCTGAGTGGGGGAGTAAAGGAGGAAGGGCTGCTCTGTCAGGGAGAAGCTCAGAAGCTTGGAAGCTGCAGCTCTGAGGAGGCGGAGCTAAGTCCACCCAGTCGTTTTGCACAGCTGAATGGTTGCCACAGGAGGTTAAAGGATTTCTCAAACATGCATGAAAGAATCAGGGCAACTCTCCAAGTATGTCAACTATAAAATACCATTCTAACATAACATGATGTAAAGATTAAAAACATCAACTTTACATAATACTGCCCCTTTAAAAAGGTGAGCAATGTCAATCAGAAGGTGCTTGAGAATAACTAGAGAAGTCAAATGTGGCAAGACAGTTTACCCTCCCAAAACATAAATAAATAAATGCATTCGTAGATATAATAATGACATCACTGACCGTCATGCGGAGCTTCAACGTCCCGGTTGCACGTTAACGTAAACAGAATCTTCCTCTGGATGACGTCTCTCTGTTAAAATGGCAACATGGATAAAAATGTTCATTAAATCTAAAATCTACTGAATGTTTACTAATGACTTCTCTTGGTGAGGAGTTAAAGTTCAGAGTATTTCACAGCATTGCGAAATTCATCTGTTCCTGAAACGTTTTTGCGTTTCGAACGAGCTTCAATCTCCTTCAGTAACTCGCAAGTTGCAGGTCTGTCTTAAAACACTTTACCATTTCTAGTGGCTCCACGTGGATGGACTGTCTCATACAGAGAAGTGGTGCCTGCAGCAAACAAAAACATTTCAAGATCAACGTTCTGACCCCAACGCAATTATATTAATCTTTTTTTCTGTTGACTATAATCGTTTGTCATTAAGAACCATTTGCCCTGAACGAACTCATGGTAATGACATAACTGTATTTTATCATGTTGAGCAGCAGAGCCATGATATTGGTGGATTAACTGTGACACAAAGTTCAGCACAAACAAAATTAAATTATTGAAATCTGTCGTTTTGTATGCAAGAAGTAATTAGCTCCATTTGGACTTTGACTCTTTAAATATGTCTGTATATTTGCTTTTATGAAGATGAATCAAGTTTTTATAATGTCATTTGTTTTGTGACCAACCATGCAGCAGAGAGCTGTAAACGTGAACTTCAGTCTGATCCACTGCGTGATTGGTGGCAGAGCTGAACCGCCTAAAAATATTAAAATGAATTAAGCGTAAAAATGAATGAAAGAATCAGAAATTCATGCTTAAAATGAGACGACAGATAATTACAAACTGACCTGACGCAGCATAAATCTGCAGAAGATTGAAAAAAATGAATCGGCATCATTAACACCAGAATTAAATAGATGAAATGTATTTAAAAATCACACATGTGACACATTTGATTATTGAAGAAAGCGTTTTTGGTGATGAAGTAATCTGATCCAGTGTGAGAAGAAAACGTTCTCACCATTGGACCGTCTGTAGCGCCACAGCAAGAGCAGGAGGACGATGAGAAGGATTCCACTAATCGGTCCAACAACTAAGAGCACAGGAAATGAAGAGCTGACTGGACTGGATCCAGCTACACAAAAACAAAAGTAATGTATTATTAGTCATCATTGTACCCAAAGAGATGATTTCCTACTAAAACATGTAAATGTGACATTGAGGTTTAACACAGACATTCTCAGTCTGTGTATCAATTTTTCCTCAAACAGTTAAATGGTTTTACTGTCGAAACTGAACTAAATGGTTCAGATCTGCAATTTAAGAAAGTAACAAAGCTTTGCTGTGGGAATGCTCACCTGTAAACATTTGTTAGACGTTGATAATAACGACAATAACTTTTTAAAAATGTTTAAATGAGAAATGAAGCGTTGACAGTGACTGTAAACAGGAAACATTAACAAGAAATTAAATGTTTGTGTCCAACCTTGATGTCACTTTAATGTTTTGTACCATTGATGTGTTTTTCAAATAAAAATATTTGGATTAAAGTTTAAACGTGGAAAAATAGACTATAATTTTGGACACTAACATGGATCTCGCCATACTATGGCTTCTAATGTTACAAGTTACAGTTACAAAGTCGGCCTTCTATCACCTGAAGAACATCTCCAGGATTAGAGGACTAATGTCTCAGCCAGAGCTAGAGAAACTCATTCATGCGTTTATCTTTAGTCGCATTGATTATTGTAACAGTATCTTCACAGTTTATTGAAGATTGATTTATCTTCAATAAATCAATCAGCTTCTGCTGATCCAGAACGCTGCTGCTCGCGTTCTCACTAAAACCAGGAAGATAGAGACATAACACCAGTTTTAAAGTCCCTCCACTGGCTCCCTGTAGCTCAAAGAATAGACTCTAAAATACTGTTGTTAGTTTACAAATCACTGAACGGTTTAGCACCACAATACATCAAAGATCTGCTGTTGTTGTATCGACCTTCCAGACTCTCAGGTTCTGGTTCTGGTTCTGCTCTGCATCCCCAGAACCAGAACCAAGAGAGGAGAAGCAGTTTTCAGCATCTATGCATCAAAAATTTGGAACAACTTTCAGAAAACTGTAAAACAGCAGAAACCCTGACTTCCTTTAAATCTCAAATAAAAACACACATATGTTACAATGTATTGTTTATTCCATGATGCATGACTGTGTTTTTGTGGTTATGTGCATTTCAGCCCTGCTGCTGAAATGTGCTATACAAATAAAATTTGATTGGTTGTCGAGTCACAACAATCTTGTTGGGAACTGATTACATTAAATATGGGCAGTTTAAGAGAATAAAATAATAAAGTGCATTAAAAATACCTCCAGAGTTTCCTCCTAAATATAAACAATAATCAACAGATGCATTTAAAAAGAAAATTAACTTACAGCTTATTTTGATGTTGGTCTCGTCACTTACAAGACTCTGGAAGTTTGTATTTCCTCTCTTTCCATAACATCTGTAGATTCCTCCTTCTGTTACATTAATATTTCTGTTTTCTTCATCAGCGAGTTGAACTTCAGGTGTGTCTTTGGTCCTTCTGAACCATCTGTACCTCCATCCAGCAGAGGGCTCCACTGAGCAGCTCAGTCTCACACTGCCCCCTACTGGTATGGTTGTAGGACCTGCAGTCAGTTTGGCTTTGGGTTTTGCTGCTGTTAAAATAAAAACTTTAATTATTCAGTCACCGATTTTACATATTCCACAATCACATTTAGTACAACATATTCAAATGTCTCAACATAAACAATGACAAAACTCCATAATTGACTTTCTCTACTGGGAATAAATGATGGGTTATCTTAGTTATTTTAATGACCAAAGTAAAAAAAAAAAACAACAAAAACTACAAGATATTTTTCTGCACAAGGATTTAACTTAAGTAAAGATGTGAAGCAACTTCATAACTCTCCATAATCCAGGTGAAAAATCCCTTTGGACTCAGTTGAAACAGTTAATTTAAAGTCTTGAAGAAAAATGTATCTTCATTTGGAAAGCAAAACAAAACATGGTCTATTTCCCAATCAACTATATCCTCATTGTCCTTTGTTTGTGGTTTATGTCAACACCAATATCGATTCTAATCAATGGGGGAAAGCAATTTGCAGCCATTAAAATGTAGTGATAAAGTTCATCTACATGCATCTTGTGGCTGCTTTACAGTGAATAAAAGGTATATTTATCGAGTGGAAAAAATTTAAACAAAATGTTGATAGCAATTTAAAAAATGTTAAAAATGCAAAAATAACAAAAAGTTCATGTCATGCAATTTATTTCAATGTAAATAAAAAGCACACAAAAGACTTGGAAAATATAAAAGCATCTAAAATTAAAGATTGAACATTGTCTTTAAGTCATTAGTAAAATGTGTATATGGTTAAATAAGACATTCAACTGATCCCAGTTCAAAAACCAGCAGGAAGCGTAAACCAACACTATTAATTCATTATTTGGCTGAATATTCATCAGACTCTGTAAACTTCATTTTGTACATTTACAGACATTTGTAAGTAAATGTACATTTAAATGTAAATTTGTACATTTAAATATAAAGGTAATTTTATTTAAATTGCACATTTTCAGCAACAAGGCAATAGGAGATGCTGTATAGGAATTTATAGGAAAAACAAACAAAATAATAAACCAAAGGAAAGAGCAAAAGAAGAAAAATAATCTAATGTTTATGCAAAATAAATAAACAAGATCCATCTATTCAAGGAGGTTTAGTAAGTATGAGTAAATATCCTCTGGATTGGAAGATTAAGAGTCTAAAAAGTAGTTGCTAAGGTAGTTTTTCTGGATTTCAAGTTCTAATACATGTTCTGGGATGCTAAATAAGAGCAAGATTTAAATCTTCCAGATTAAATTGACTTTCAATATTCTGCATTAATCGAGGGGAACTTTCAGACAGATGCTCTGCTAATATTTAGGCTCTGCTTGCTTTGATTTTTGCTGAGTTGGTCCTGATAAATAAAAAAACAAAAAAAAAAAAAACCCATCACGACTCACCTGACACCAGCAATGACATCTTTTCACTCCACTTTGTCAGAGAATGCCGGTCGTCTATGTTTCTGCACCGACACATGTAGTCTCCACTGCTGGACGCAGAGACTGTGAAAGTCAGGAATTTTCCCTTTGCCATTTTTACAGTTGTCCCATTTCTCTCCTATTCCTCCACTCAGTGGTTTCTCTTTCTTGGATCTCACATGTCAGAGTGATCAACTCACCACTGAACATCTGAGGCCAGTTTGGTTTTCGAGTCACAAAAACCTCATTGGAATCTGTTTACATTAAATATGGGCCAGTTTGAAAAAAATAAAGTAATAATAAATTAAAAATACCTCCTGAGTTTCCTCTTAAATATAATAAATAATCAACAGATGCGTTTAAAGAGAAATTTTACTTACATCTTATTGTGATGCTGACTTTATCACTTATAAGACTCTGGAAGTTTGTATTTCCTCTCATTCCATAACATCTGTAGATTCCTCCTTCTGTTACATTAATATTTCTGTTTTCTCATCAGTGAGTTGAGCTTCAGGTGTCTTTGGTCCTTCTGAACCATATGTACCTCCATCCAGCAGAGGGCTCCACTGAGCAGCTCAGTCTCCACACTGCCCTACTGGTATGGTTGTAGGACCTGCAGTCAGTTTGGCTTTGGGTGGAGCTGATGTTAATAAAATAATAAAATGTCCGTTAACACGTTAAGTTATTCTTCAGTCAGATTGAGTACAAATATTCAAATGTCGCATCATAATATGTAACAAAACAAATAATGAGTTTCTCTGAGAGAATAAAGTTTTATTTTTGTTTAACCTCCCAAATAAAACAACAAAAATTATGCTTTTCTGTGATAGCTCACCTAATTGAACATAATTTTATTCATAAAATAATAAGTTTAATTGTATTTCACAGAATTGATGTTTTCTGTAGATGTTGCAACTTCTGATACTTCACAAGAGGTTAAAAGTTCATTTTGCGAAACACAAAAAGCTAAGCTAATTTCCTGTATATAAATTTAACTTACAGAGGATTAAGCATGTTCATTAGCTATGTATCTCTCTATCATGTACAAATCTAGTTGAAAAAGATCATTTGAACTCACCAGTAACAGTTATAGAGACCGTGTCACTGCACTTGGCATCACTGGAGCTCTTCCTGACACCACAGCACCGGTATTCACCACCCTGATCAAGTTGGATAGATGGTAATGTGAAGCTTTTGTGCGGGTTGGATTGAAGAATTTTTCTTCATTTCTTCTAATCTCATATTCCCAGTCGGTGTCTTTGCCTTTATCCATGTCACAAATGAAGGTCACGCTCTCTCCAACATGAAAGTCGACCAGTCGGGTCAATAGTCAGGTATGCGCCTAAAACGCAGCACAATACATTTAGCACATTTATCAATGTATGTTTATAATACATTTTAAGACACCAAATAAAAAAACAACATATATGCACCTCATTCTTTGTGAATAAATAAAAGAACAAAGAAATCAATACCGTCAGCATGTCCAGAGCAGAGAAGAGGATTCAGCAGTAAATAAAAGCTAAACTTTTGTCATTATTAACAAACAACAAAGTTTTAGATTGACGAGCACAGTGTGGGTCACTCTGACACCCAGCGCAGGAGCTTTACAAGCATCCTCTTCTTTACAAGTATATCTTATATGTTTCCCGTCAGAATGACATCAGAGGTTTCAGCCAATTTCTCTTCATCTGATAAAAAATCATAAGACTTAAAATATAAGTACTAACACTTCTCACACATGTAAAAATTCCTCTTTATCATATGTAATTTCTCACAGCGTGTTTATCGTTCAAGTTCTAAAGTCCAACATTGGTGGCTGAGAATTTTCTCCAAGACTAGATTAAGACAATGGAAATGAACAAAAAGTACTTAAATATTTTAAATAGGAGTTATGTGTGTCCGTGAGTGTGTGCGTTTGTGCGTGCGTGTGCGCATGCGTATGTGTGCGTGTGTGTGTGTGCAGCACCAGAAGCCACACAGTGATCTTATTTTTTCCGGAGGAATATTTTTAATTTTTTTAATTGTGACGCAAGTTGTGGCAAATGTGCTAAAAAAAAAAAAAGAGAGAGCGAGAGCGAGAAAAGTGTGTTAATGTGAAAAACTAGCACACCTCTGTTCACATAACTTTTCATTTATTTTTACATTTCAGTACTGAGCCTATCATCAGATGTTTTTCTTGTTTTACTTAATAAAGCAAGTGGGAAAAAAAATTAAATCACAATTTGTTAAGTTCAGCGCTCCAAAATGAGTTCATTTTCCTGCAGATTGTAGAATAACTTTTATGACCAAGCAGGATCACTATGTACATTGTTCTCCTCTGACTTGAAGTAGGGCTGGTGGAGGAATAATGACTTTGTTCTGCAGAATAGTTCACTTATAAAATGTAGGTTTTGCATATTTGTTAAAACTGTCACCATGCAGTAGAATATTTTGTAAAAAAAAAAAAAAAAAAAAAAAACATATATATATATATATATATATATATATATATATATATATATATATATATATATATATATAATATATATATATATATATATATATATATATATATATATATATATATATATATATCTGGTCCTACTGCCTTATTTGTCACAACAATGAAAGTTCAAAGTTCAAATGTAATTAAAGCCAAAAAAGTTTAATTATATATCCTCTGTCTCAACCTCACAAGAGCTCTGTCTTTTAATCGTTACCGTTTCATACAAGCATTAAGTCCTGTTTTTTTCTACACAATGAGCTCATTCTCGAGCGTCGTAACATTTTCCACTTCTTCATTTTAGCTTGACTAAAGAACATTTGAACATTTCCTAACAACTCGGCTTGAGTTTCTCACCAAATTGACTCAAATCAGCAGGACGTGATGCACAAATGCAATCAGACGTTTCCAATTTTGGCATTCCAGTGCATTTACGCCTTACAACCACTTGGAGTTGTCACTGCGGTTTCTTCTCTTTTTCTCTCTCTTTCTGCAGATTCAGTTTCCTAAAGTGTCGTTTTCTTTCTTCCTCCCTCTTTTCTTTTCTCCCTACTTTTCCCTTTGAACTTTTTGTCGGACCTCTCTTCATTTCTTCTTTCTCTTCTTTACCCTTTTCTGTCTCTGTGTCCAGTGCATTTGAAATAAAACCCAAAGCAATTTCTGACAAAAGAAGAAGAACGGAGGTAGAGTTCGGCCACTGGACCTCAGGTTTCTGAAACTTCTGATGCATATTTCAACTCATGCCCAGTTATATAAAATCCTTCAGTCTTGCTATCCAAACAAGTTTATTTGGATGGCATTATTTCTACAAAGGTGATTCAATATGACAGCAAAATAAGCAGATATAACGAGAACTGCATTACAATACAACCTTCAAGTGAAAAACCATCCATTTTATAAATCACATAAAAGAAAATAAAAATGTAAATTTAGGGACATTTTTAGATCTCACTGAAAGGAACCAGAAGGTTTTTCCCGTCTGCAGAACCAGATGATTTGTCAGTACATATATGAACATCAACTCCAATGTGTGGATGCCAAAGGTCACTCAGTGCCTTTTACACGACCAGCAATAGTTTGAATTAAATCCTTTGACGGACAAAAAACTGATGAAGTGATTTAAGGACTGGTTACTGCGATCTGTTTTCCCCAAAGTTAGTCAGGACTCTTTTTTTATATGTCTATATATTTTATTTATTTATTTATTTTTTAGAACTGTACAGATGACATATGAATGTAACCAAAGATAAAATCTCAGATTCGAAGAAAAATGGAAAACATAATAATCAGTAAGAAGTTTTGGAGTTTTATCGCTATAATACGAGTAAAAGTTTTCCAGTTTGTTACTGAGCTGAGTATAAATCATTTTTGAGGCGGTGTTTCTTTTAAGTGACAGTTAAACAAGAAGGGTTTTAATGTTTTTTGGCTTTTCTGGACATGGGACCATCGTCAGCCAGAGTTGCTCCTGACTTGTAGTTGGCATAAACTGCTGCATCTGCCGAGCGACTCCGTTTTCCTGTCAATGGAGAGATGAAATGATTGTATTTTTAAACTGGAAGGCTGTCAATTGTCATCTTCGTCAGCTGGTGACAGCTGGTAACTGCCAGCGTTACACACATGCAACTCAAAAAAATAAAAGGTGTCAATTAAAAGTTCTGAAACCAATCCACTGAGCAAAAAAAAAAAAAGGCCTGGAAGTAATTTTCTCTTCCTTTAGCTTTTGTTTTTTTTTTCTTGGCTTTTTTCAAACGGATAATCTCAACAGATGCTGTGGTAGAGTCTGAAGAAGAAATGAAATGAACAGAAACTAAAAAAACACACGAAAAAAAAACAATTTCCTCTCTGGTGGCCGTATGTAGATGTTAAATAAGGAAAATTATAATTTGAACTCCAAGATTATATGGAATGAAATTGAGTCTAATGTCATGAGGACAAGTTACAATACAAAAAAAATAATAATAATAACCGCACCTGTTTTCACGTCGGAGCCCACAGCGCCCTCTTGTGGATCCTCTGTTGAGATGGATGAAAAAGAACATCTGGAGGTTAAAACCAGTTCTGCCTGAGTTATGTTCTGCTGCTGTCAATCAAATGTCTTACTCGTCGTCCCGAAGTTTTTCATTTCAGCCAGGGAGTACACAGTGTCTGGGGATTTATCTGCAAATAAAATATTCAAGTTACCAACACCAGTCGCATGTCTTTAGGGTTTCTAAGTCACCAATTGGTGACATTCTTATCTACTTTCATAAAATTACTCTACTATTCCGATTGACATCATCCACACAGTTGGGGCCACAACTCTTGAGATTCATTAAAAATTGTAGTTATGCAATGTGGATTTTTTCAGAATAACAGAAACAGAACAAATTTGAGAATAAAAATGTTCTACCTCTGAATACGTTACATTTAAACCTAAATGTAAGAAGGGATTTATAGCCAGGACTGTACCTGGTCCTCTGTTTTCCACATTAGCATAAACAGGACGCTCTTCTGGATCAACAGGAAGTCCTGTTGAGACGAAAAAATAAATAAATAAAAAACAGCGTTAGTAACAGTTCCGATCACTGCTCTCATTAAATTGAATATTTATTTATATATATATGTACACATCTTACTCATCAGCCCAACATTTTCCCCTTCAATCTGGGAGTACACAGTGTTTATGGATTTATCTGAAAAAGAAAATATTCAAGGATTATACAGTCACACATTAGGCTTTCTAAGTGACCAATTGGCAGCATTCTTAACTTTGACAAAAACAGCCTACTAATCTTACTGACATCACAAGATTCAAAGTTGCCTTTTAAAAATGTATTTAAGCAATTCCAGCAGTATAATGTGGACTTCTTTTTCAGAAAACACACACTAATCTGAGAATGTAAAAATGTTATGAGTCGGAACTTAAAACCGGAAGGCATGCAGCCGGCAGCTTGACAAGCCCACATATTTGTAACCCCTCTCTGACATTTAGGTTTAGTCCCAAAGTGGTTGGAGCAATAACATTTTGGAGTGGGTAAGTCAGAGTCCTGACGTAATAATTGTGGAAAATCTCTGGAGGGAACTAAAGATTAGGATTAAGGTGACGACAAGGTGCCATTACAATTTCAATACTCTGAATTCATCACCAATGATAAATCTTTAAAATAGGAGTGGAAACACAAAACCTGAGGAGGTAATATTTCATTACCAGTACCAGAAGCTCCTTTATTCACAGTAGCGTAAACAGCCCACTTCTGGACCAACACGAAGGCCTGTTGAGATGAAAATAAAAGAAAGAAAAACCCACCAAAACAAAGATCAGACCAGCTGCAATATGTAGCTTTTTATTAAACTATATTTTTTACCTACTTAGAAATTATTATTTCTAAGACAGATAAAGTGGGGAAAAACAAGCTCCTCTGCCTTTTCCCAGTGCTAACGACAAGAATACGCCACTGAGTCAGAAACAACCAATCAGACACAGGAGGAGGGCCTTAGCGTTGTCAAGCGCTCTCTTGCTACCGCCAATGCTAATGCTACTTAGCATAGCCACAGATGAAGCTGGATAGCCTTTTTTTCTGAACAGTAAGTAAGTCGTTTGTCCACCTTTGAGCATTATTGATTGACAGCGCTAAGACCCTCCTCCTCCTAGCTCTGATTGGTTGATTTTGACTGGGTGTGGTGCATTTTTGCACACCTCAATCTTTTTCCAGATTATCTGTCTCATGCCATACTATCTAGACATCAGCACAGTTATTACAAACATATTTTTGTGAAAGTGAAATGCTGCAGATTTAAGAACAGTTCTGACTGTTCTGTATTTTGAATATATTTGCGTCTTACTCTTTGTTCCAAAGTTTTTTGCTTCAAGCAGAGAGTACCCATTGTCTATGGATTCATCTGCAAATACAATATTAAATACATCTTTATACATCTGTTGCTTGTCATTAGCTTCCTAGTTGACCAATAAGTTGCGTAACAATTGTAACAAACAATATATATATATTATACCATTCCTACTGACATTATAGCATTTGAGTGACTAATTGAAACAAATGTTGATTTCTGTAGCTGAAATAAGGATTGAATCCTTATTAGCCTAAATAAATAAAATAAAAAAAAGTTCATTCATCTCAGTGACTCAAATCAGCAAGTAAAGCACATTATACATGTAGGATAATGAGATAAACACTTCTGTTTTTAAGTCTATGATGATCTGCCTGTCAAAGCAGAAAACATGAATTACCTATAACTTGTATTTTCACATGTGACCAAAGAGCGCCCTCTTCTGGATCTGGAGGACTCCCTGTTGAGGTCAACAAAACCAAAGAACTGAAGGTTAAAATCCGTCTGAACTCTATTCTTCTGCTCTAAACTAAACATGTTTCCATCTTACTCTTTGTCCCAGAGTTTTTTGATTCAGCCAGGGAGTACACAGTGTCAGGTTTGCCTGCAATAAAAAAATATCCACAGATTATATTTGAGCTGTTTATGATGAAAGTTCCTAATTGACCAACATGTTGTAACAATTTCAACAGAAATACTCTACCGTTCCTGTTGACCTCTGAGGATCCGAGTGACAAACTGAGGGAAGAATTGTTTTACTGTAAAGAATAAATAAGGACAAGAGGCTTACAGTTATTTTTCAATAAATTAGGATATTGTTAAAAACTTAATTAATTCCAAACATTTCAGTTCACATACCAAAAAGAGTCATTAAACACAGACTGACTGTTAAAAACCTTTTTTTTATAGATTATGACTGATGAAAACATGATATTTCAGGTTAGAATATTTAATCAGAAAAATACACATAATACAAAAATAGACGTTAATGAAAAGTATGTTTACTATCTGATAGAAGGCTGTTGTTCTCAAAATCTACTTTTAATTTGACAATTAAACCTCATGGGAACACATATTCAATTTCTCTGAATGCGATGCAAGTAAGTAAGCAAGCGAAACAAAGTGCATCCAAATTGCACTTTATCTCCTACTGTTTGTATTTAGTTGAGAAAATGATAATAACAAAATAAAATAAAAACTATATTCCAATGAATCTGCTTTCTAACCCCGTTGGAGGGAGATGTGTGTCTCAGCCTGGTTGACCTCATGATTAGTGGCGAAGCGCCTACTGGAGCTCTGTGATGAATTTAGTCTAAAGCTGAAGAAATGTGACCACTTTGTTAGAAAAACAACCGGAAATTAAAGACAAAGGTACGAAGAAAATAGTTTTTTTTGTCAAAAAAAGAGACAATCAGATGTTGTGTATTCACCTCGTGTGCCCCAGATCTGTAAAAAAAAAAAACTTTTAAAAATACCTTCATCATGTTTTTCTCTTGTCACAACATTAAAATGCATCTTGATGAATCTGAAACACTTCACATGATGAAGAGCAGGAGAAACGTCTCACCTTTCGTCCGTCTGCTGCGCCAAAACAAGAGCAGCAGAATAATTAGACTGATTCCACCAACCAGAGCAACGACCAGCAGCACGAGCGACAAAGAGCCGACTGGACCGCTGCACTCAACGGATGCTGAAAATATAAAACATGAAAAAGGAATAAGTGGTGCTTAAATTATAATTTTATCATCTAAAAAAAAGATATCTTAAAATGATTATAAATAAAATCTACAGCAAATCCAAAGACTTCTTTTGAATGAGGTAACAATAGGCTTTTTGCAAAAAAAAAAAAAAATGCATGATAGTAAGTGAAATGTAACTTATCACTGTGATGTAATGTCAGTATCTATATGTTAATGAGTGAAGAGGAGGATTTATTTTCAAGAATTCAATTATTTCTACATGTATACATATATTTATATATATAAAAATCTGTTTCAGTGAAATTTGAAACAGATTGTGAAGTTGAGAGCAAACCTCTCTCCGTGATTTCACTAATCACAGAAAGAGAACATGTTAAGGCCACCATTCTTACTGATGCTGACTGTGTCACTGTAGTCTGTGTAGTAAACTGGTTTTCCTCTTCCTCCTCTGCACCAGTACAGTCCTTCCTCTGAGACATTCATTTGTCCATTTGAGGATGAAACAGCATCTTCTCCGGTCAGAGGCTCTGAGGATTTTTCTCCTCTGTACCAGAAATATGTCCAACTAAATGATGATGATGATGATGATGATGATGATGACGATGACGTGTTTAGTGAGCAGGTAAGCATCACGCTGCCTCCTGCTGGCAGCTCTGTGCTGCCCGCACTCAGATGGGCCTTTGGTTTACCTGTTGGCGAGTTTAGACAACAACAATATAAGAAACAGCATAGATGTGAGTCACACACACAGTTCTATACATAAGACAGCATTTTTACGTAAAATATTTATTTTATTTTGTGACGTTTGTGTCTTATCAATTGTGCTAAATGTGTTCACAATCTGAAACAGACCAATCAAAACTGGCCAGGATTATTCCAAGCAGGAAAGACACTTGTTTTTTGTTCTATTATTAATTATTTCTCTTTGAGTCCACAGAAGGGGCTATTTGAGTAAGAACCACCACCGACTGGAAATGTGGGAACCCTGGATCCAAAACTACAAGAAAACGGAACGATGTTTGTTGTAAGGAATCTCTCTCCTGCCCTATTGGAGAGACTCTTGTGTCAGAGTCTAATCGAGCCAAATCGCAGCTCCTTCTTTAAATTCTGTTTCTCAATCTTCTCCAAAACTCTTGGAAAACACATAAATGAAACATGACTTACGAAATACTGACAGTGAGACGGGTTCACTCCACCCTGTCGAAGAAAAGGCATCATCTTTGAGCAAACACAGACACCTGTAGTCTCCCCCGTTGGACTCAGAGACACTGAAAGTCCAGTTTTTGCTCTGTGTCCTGCGTATGAACAACCCGTCTCTCCTCCAGTCACACGTCCACTCAGCGGTTTCTCCTCCCTGGACCTCGCATGTCAGAGCGATCGTCTCGCCACTGAACATCTGAGGCCAGTTTGGTTGTCGAGTCGCAAAGACCTCGTTGGAAACTGTTTACATCAGATAAGAAGAGAAACTTGAAATCCATCAAGAGAACTCAACATTATTTTATTATTATTATGTCTGAATAACTCACAGGTTATTTTGATTGTACTCCTGTCACTTGAGTAACTTCGGTGGTTGTGTGTTTCTGTCACACCTTTGCATTGATAAAAACCTCCTCGTGTGACATTAATAATTCTGTTCAGTCCACTATTATTTTTGACTTGAACCCGGGGAGACTCTGGGGTCCATCTGAACCAACTGTACATCCATCCAGCAGAGTTTTCCACAGAGCAGCTCAGCGCCACACTGCCCCCTACTGGTATGGTCGTTGGGCCTGCTGTCAGAATGGCCCTGGCTTTATCTGCTGTTATCAAGCACACGAAAATATGTTTAAAAAAAATAACTTAAAAGCACCAATGTTGGAACAACATTTATTTGTATCATTCCTAAATTGCAAACTGCCTTTTTAAGTCAATCATTGTAAAGCCCTGCCAGTTTGTACAGAAAAATCAAATGAAATGTAATAGAAAATTTTTTTTGGAGTTGCTTTGAAATCTGAATTAATGCATTTTGGTTACTGGATATATGCTTTTATTGTAGAGGGAAAAAACCCCATTCCTTTCAAGTATATAAATGTCATTGTTTAACAAGTACATAAAAATGTCTCTAATCTTCCAGCTTGCAGGTGTTTTGTTACAGTGAGACATGCACTGGAAACCTTCATAGCTAAAACTGTGTCAAAAACAATAAATTGTGTTCAAATATTGATAGGAATAAAAGCGAAGTTACCTTGAGCATGTCCGCAGCAGACGAAGATGATCCACACTACAGTGAAAGTAGAAAGTTTTACACTAAACAAGTTAAAGAAAAACAACAGAAGGTGTCTGTTTTACATGTCCAGTCTGTCCAATGCTGACCAGATGTTCTGTTTATTAAATGTTTTTAAGAAAACCACTACATATTTTCTCGTACCAAGACATCAGAATTTTGCCAATTTCTGTTGCACAACAGTTTTTCTTTTCTTTTTGTCTACAAAGGTCATGGCACGGTTTAACCCTCTCAGGCTCAAATTACTTGCAAAGACTGGCTAAGGTGTTGCATTTCTGCAACACCTGCCTGGCACGGTTTAAAAGAAAATGTCATTATTAAAAAGAAAAATGTTTATCAACACTGTTTTGTTGACAAAGGTTTGACAGACATTTAACATACTCTGCACTAATTAAAACGAAAAGGTGAAGTTATGTACTTACTCAGTATGTCCAGTACGTAATATAAAGTGTGTTTCGCCCTCATTTCTGAGTCAAATGAGGACGAAAATGTTTCAGCCAAGTGCTGCAGAAAGAAAACCCACAGGATAGGAAATTAGTTTCGATACAGACTGAGATCGGACCGCGGTCTCTGTATTAGGTTTTGCCACAGAGCAACGTGATGCTTCCTGTCCAATACCGAGAAATCTACAGCCATGTCAAAGAAAAAAAACACCAGCTTTATTTATTTGTAAAATGGATTACATAGTTGTTGCCAACTAAGCAAAAATAAATGAATAAATAAATAAATAAAATCTTTACTTGAACTAAAAAACATGAGCAAACCACAACGCTGCATTAGCTGAAGGTGGAAAAACGATGTATTCAGCGTGTTGATCTTCAAGCAACCATCTTCTACATGACCACATCAGTGCTGTGCAGGAAGTATGGTTAGCTCTGCCTCGCACAAAGTTTCTGTTTATGCAATTTCTATGAAGTCTAAAGACTGTTACATGTACACCCTGCACAACTGAGCTGTGGTAAAGAGCTGCAATCAAGCAATCACAATGACTGGCAGTGACTCTTTTTGAACCAATTGTTTAATTTCGACCCCATTTAAAGGTTTTCAAAGATGAATGGCTTAAATGACTTTGCTAGTCATTTGAAAGCAAATTGCTAGTGTATTTTGCATCGTTGTTTTAACCCAATTGGGCTTGAGTTTAAGGTCGTGAATGGTGGTCACAGACTAATCTTCCTGGATTTTTAGGATGAGAACAGAATTTGTGGTTCCATTAACAATGAATAAACCGAGGACAAGACCTTGTTTGATGACAACTTTCTGAAATGTGTTCATTTCGAGTCAGATGTGACTCGAAATGAACACGACGAGTTTTATTGTTTTATTGGTTCTGAGTATCTTTCCGACATAGTGAGGCAGGCCTTTGTTTCTTTTAGTCAGAAGTGGTTTTTCCTCCAAACTTTCCCATGAGTGTTACTTTTAGACTCTTAGCCAGGAATGCTAAAACTAACAGAAAGCTAGTTGAGTAGCGCTTCAGGTGTTATTTTGGGTTTTCTGCGACCTCCCGCTGAGACATTTTGTAATTTCTTTTGGCCTCCCATGAGCTGACTCAGCTTAATCCTGGGATTCTCAGAATGGTTATAGTTAAACTAAATAATTTATAGGCATTAAAAAACACTGTCTTATAAAATCTTTCACCCACTTTGTATGTAAGTGGCATTGTTTCAGTGCAGGCCATGCTGTTATGAGCATTTTAGATAAGCCTTCTGGAAAACCACATTATTTTAAAGGAGGCAATTAGGTCCAACTCTTTTCATTGACGCTTTCTGAAAAAAAGATTTTGATAATATTTAAAGGAATGATCCACTTCGTCTCCAGTGCTACGAGCTACTTAACATGCTAAGTCGAGGACACGAGTGTCCTCAGAGTAAGCTGCAAAGTCAGATGAAATTTAGGCTTGAAGCAAAACAGAAATAATGACCAGGTGTGAAACGCCGGATGAGATCATGATTATGTCTTCAACCACGTTTCCCCATACAGCCAGATAAATGTTCTTTGTGCAGCAGGTGTTCGATTGTGTCAACTTTGGCGTTCAGTCTAAATGACCACAATCTTGAGAACAAACAATAGCAAAGAGTCTGTCTCACTTTGCTCCAATTTATGTGTCATAGCCTAAAAGGTGTTAACCTCTCAGAGCTCAATTTGGGTCTATGTAAACGTTGATCTCACTCACACCTCTCGGCACCTCTAATGCGGAATAGAGCATTAAAATGAAATACTGGCGCAAGGTTTCACACCTCTGGGGCTTCATCACTGAAAGTATTGAGTATTCAGTTTAAACCCAACAAAAATCACCCTTCTATTGTTGTGGAAAATTTTGTGGCCCTCCAGCAAAGTTTTGTCTTAAACTTCAGTAAAACTAATACCTGTTGATCCTTAGATGTATTCGGGTTCAGGGCCAACGACTGCTGGAGAAGTGAGTTAATACAATAATTGGATGGATGTTTAGATTATATAAATAGTATTTCAATAACAGCTTTCTTACACAGTTTTTGCACATCAAGTTGGTATTCATAAAATATAAAAAAGGCAAAACACGCTGCTTGTTTTTGCTGGGAATTATAAGCAACATGTTGTTGAAGTAGATTGACGCAATGCAACACTAATAATTATAAAGTTAATGCACTGTTTTTAAGTTTTTTATCAACTTTATTCAGATCATGTGCGAGTTTATGCAAAACGTACAAGCATGCAGGGTGGGGGGGGAGATATGTTCACTATTAATTTTTCAGACTGACTCAGAGGGGCTGCAAAATGTGTGAAGCGCTCAGGGTTTAAATTAAGTCTGTGGTTCACAGTTTCTTTTTGAGACAAATGAAGTCATCAGATTCAGCTACCGGGACATTGCTGATATAAAAATCTGTCCCCGAGTGACAGAGTGTTTATTTGTCGGACAAAAACAGCAGAACTTCAATGCTCGATCTGAGGATGGTACAGACATGGTTATCCACACTTTTACTAACTTGTGAGTAAAAGCTAGTTTTTGTTTTCTTTATGGATGTTGATTTAAAAAAAAAAATCACATTAATTTGTATCATTTTAAAAGGGTAACAATTTTTTTTCAAGAAGTCTTGATGTATCAACAACATTTTGAAAAATGTGAAACAAAGTGGAACAATTTTCAAATTCAAAAATGTACATACGAATATCAAGGATATAATAAAAAAACTGTATTCTTTTTGGTTTAATTTTCACTTAGTCCTACATTTTCTATTTTTTTCAAGTGTTTGGTCCTTTCATCGACTGTGGATCTGTCCAGGGTAAGTACTGACCTTTGCGTTTGACTCTCAGTTTATTCACCATTTAACATGGTTTGTTCTTGAATGGTCAGGACATAAAGGAAACCAGAAATCTGAGTCTGAAAAAGAATGGCATTTTAAAATAAACGATTTGTTGGAACATAGAAAGGAACACTCAGAAACATACGTCAGGTCTAAAGGTCAACTTTATGTATACATTTTCTTCATTTGCCAACTGAGCAGCAAAGGTCCCTCAGGCCTCACTCAGAGCAGACAGCAGGGGAATACCAGCGGGTGGCAGTGTGACCCTCACCTGCTCTGTGGACGCGTCTGCAGACTGGAGATACTACTGGTTCAGAAAACAAACATCAGAATATTCCAAATCTTTCATGATAAAAAATGGAACAGCAGAACAGACCATTACTGTTTCAGAAGACGGCATCTACTACTGCAGAGGAGGACGAGGAGGCCCAGTTGTTTTCACAGAGGACAGCAACGCAGTTACGATTGACAAAATAAGTTAAGTGTTTTGTCTGTAAAACAACGCGTATCAGGTATAAAATCAACCTCGGCTTTGAATTCTTCGCAGTAATTCATTTTTTTTCCTTCAGACACGCCTTCCAAGGCAGCAAGGATAACACAGAATCCCGACTGGATCAAAATATTATCGGAGAGAGGATCAGTCTGACATGTGTCGTCTCGGATGGAGACGGCGCTCGGTGGGAATACGAATGGAAAACGACGAGCTCGGAAAAGCCCGTGAAAACCGCTGAGGTCTGGGTTTTCTATACCTCCGATTCAGTGCCGGCGACTTCTGGTGCAGAGGCAAAAACAAGATGGACTTGCTTCCCACAATGTGGAGTTATCCCATCAGATTGACTGTGATTTGTAAGTTTTTTTATTTTTATTTATTGTTTATCCATTTCAAAAATAAATCTAAAACTCCTGCTCACTCTTCTTGATTTGGGCCTGATTATGTAGGTTATAATATTGAAAATACAGAACGAATTTGAAATTGACTGTCAAAACGACAAAAAAGGAGGAAAGCATTGAGTTAAGTCATTTTCTAATGATGCCTTCATTAATTAAAGAACAAAAGTGCCATCGTAATAGATGTTACTATTACTAGTGACTTTTTGATCCTACGATTGAGGATGTATGTGGCAAGTGAAACTATACTTCAGTGTCCCCTGTAAAATGTAACAAACTTTTTCTACTTGTAAGGATGCAATTGAAATTTTTAAATGAAAAAGTTTCATGCCACTTTTTTCATTATATATTACAGCAAGCAAGCCAAAGGCAACACTAAATGTTGACGTGTTTCATTGGAATGGAAATTGGACTCTGACCTGCTATGTGAATTTGTCACCATCGACCTGGAAATACTTCTGGTATGTGGGTGAAACACCCTCTGAAATCCTGCCCAGAGAGGATGCTGCTGGGAGCAACAAACAAATCCTTGCCTCCCAGAGAGGACTCTACTGGTGCAGAGGGGGAAGAGGAGATCCAGTTTACTACACAGAGTTCAGTGACCCACTGAAAGTCGGCACACCGTAAGTTTCTATTTTGCATACGCAAAAAAAAATAATGAATCCGATTGCACTCAGCTCATTCGGGCAATAAGACAAGACAAAAAAAAAAAGTGATAGATATTGCATTATCTCGGTTTTGCACTGAATACGGTGGGAAAGTCAGGACAACATACATGTCCGTAAGAGTGGTTCAATTGTTCTTGAAGTAATTTCCCCTGTGACTTTTACCACATGCAACAACAGAGGAGTCAGAGTCAGCAGCAGACCCAACTCCTCCCACCACCGTGACTCGTCCACCAGGTGAAAAAGGTGAGCAGCACCATCTGTGGCCAAATGACAAATAGCATCAGTGCAGATGGGAATTTTTCTGTCTCTCTTGTTGTGTTTACCATTATGCAATAAAACTGGAATATTTGACAAGTCATTATAAAATAATGAAGAAAAGTAAAAAAGCTTCTTGTCTGAACAAGAAACCAGCGAGCATGCTATCTGAGATTACTTGTAAGTCACTTACCGTGTTAAAATGTTCCAGTTTAAATATTCTGTTTAGATTGAATTGAACTGAATTGGTGACCTGGGAGGTCATGTATAAATGTACACAGAAAACCATTGCGGCGTTGAGTTTCACACACGTCGTCATGTGTACAAATACATGTTGCAGTGAAAATTTCCACAACTGTATGTCAGCTTTGAGTTGCCACAAGAATAACTAACCGCAAAGCATCATGGGTAAATACATGGGTAAATCATTTAAATGCACAGAAATCTAACTCCATGCAGCCTTATTCAACTCAGCGCATTCAAGGCAATGTTTTCTATCATTTTAATAAGAGCGAACCATTTTGCCTCATGCAACATGCACATAAAAAAGTCATGGGAAAAGCTCAATCAGATGTAAATATGTTTTTATTATCATTGGTCTGTTGTAATGTTTCATAGTTATTTTACATTTTAACAATGTTGGGAGAATTTTTGATTATTTGCAAAGTGAAATAGAGAGTAAGACACAATCTTTAGTTCATTTTTTAACATCTAAATTTAATCCTGGCTTGTGCATGTAAACTTTACTAGCAGTAAACATTGCACTAGTGTCAGCACTGCACTAAAGGCAGCGAGACAGTTGCAAGTGTTTAAAGTTGATAACGTGAAGCTTTTGATGAGTCAGTTAAAGGCTAGAAATGTGTTTGACAACAGGTTTGGTGAATGGAGCCCAATTTGATGATTTGTCATGGGGCCCAAACAGCACCAGTGTTAACAAGTGTGTGTTATTACAGAGGGAAGCGGCTCTCCTGTCATTTCGCCACTTATGACGGGGTTGGCTTGTGGAAATCTCCTGTGGAAGTCTGGTTTTGCTGTTTATGCTTTTGCTCAGAAAAATTAAAGGTAAGAATTTCAAAACGAACAATCCCAAAGCCGTATCTCATGATCTCAGTGTCGCTAAGACCTCTCCTCACAGATCCAGATCCTAACATCATTCTGAGTTTCTTAATTTTGAAGAATAATAATCTTCACATATAAAAACACATACGTTCTGATCCTGTTCCACCTCCGAGCTTTCTTCACGTTTGGAATCTAATCGAGCCTCTGGTGAAAAGCAACTCATCGACCCAGATCCAGACAGTCCTTACAGTCATCTTACCCATGGTCAGGCCTGAATGATTGATAAATTTAAAACATGGCTGCTGTCCAGAAATATATATTTTCTCCATTATGCTAAGGATCCTGATTTTTACCCTGTAGGCGACACAGCTATCTACGAATCCATCCCCCCAAGCAGAAATCTTGACACTGGTGCAGTACACTCCTTGATTCATGTAGAAATATTAGTAAATGAAATATTATGACTGCCTGATGTGTATAAATATTACATTAATATTTCAGGAGAAGGAGACCATCGTGCTGCATTGTGATCAGCTGAAATGTCGCAACACAAGCAGTACGTACAAAAACTATGAGATAATATTTAATTAGGCAACCTGTAAAAACAAAACACATATCACATTTTAATTAAAGGCGCTAATAATAACATTGAAGCAGTGTAATATAGCTACTGAATGACGTCAAACTCATAGCCAAGTGGGAGTGAAAAAAACTGAATTCAAACCTAGACTCCAGTAATTATAGCAGAATTACCCGCAAATATTTCTGCAGGTTAACACTGATAGTAAAACTGAGTAAATGCTTTTAATATTTCAGTCAAGACATTTTGGTTGTTTCCTTTATTTTATCCATTCTGCTTTCCTATCGTGTTCATAGCAACTGACTTTGCTGTGTTTCAGATCTAGAAGAAAAAAGAGGCGTGAACATCTGCTGTCCTTTAAGACCACCAAGACATTTTTCAGCTTTGTAAAGACCTGCACAATCTGTGTGTAATTTAACCACCACTCATGAAATCACTTAGAAATCAAGCTTTTGCAATTGATCATTCTTTAATGTATTGCTTGTGAAAATGGAAACTAGAAATAAAAAAACAAACCGTAGATGTTTGTCTTTGAATAACAACCTCCTCCTCCTGTATTCCCCTGCTTTACAAATGCAATGCTTTGAATGTAAATTACAGTCGTCAACACCAGTCATTGCAGTAAATGACTGGTGTTGCAGTTTTTTGACCTCTCTGCCTACACTTACAGCCCGCAGACGATCACATGACACGGGCACAACACAGACACAACGGCAGCATTCTGTCCATGTGAACACCATTGTAAAAGTTAAAGACCACTAATATCAAGTTATGTGGACGGCTTTACATTGTTGCAAGCTTTGCATACAAAACTAAATCAGTTCAGTGGGAACAGGGCAGGCCTAAACAAATGGAGACACCATCAATAAAAAAATATATATATTCTTGATCAGGGTCCGATAAATGGGGTTGGATCAGAACACATTTTATTCAAGTTTGCAGCAAAAATGAAAACTCGATCAGGAAGAACAAACTCAAGATCCTCTCAGAGTCTGACAGATGAAAGAGACAAGTCAATACCTATTTAGACCACTACTAATTTCTTTATATCCTTCCAACTTGGGCGATCTCCAGGCAAACTATTTGTAGCTAGAGTTGAATCTTTCTTTACTTTCTCACAGTCAATAATCCTGTAGGTTTTTCTATTAAAAACCAAAAAAAACTTCAGTTTATCTCTGGTTATTTACCCTTATGCCTGGGGTCATGCTCAACTTGATTTCACTGATGAACGCACCAGAAAGTATATTACCTGCTTACCTCTGCACTGCTGTAGTGCAAGAGATAAGCATCGCAATATTTTTAAAAATAAGAGCTGCCACAATGGGTTTCACCATATTGTGTTGTGTTGCACACAAGACCAAAGTGCAAACCCTGGACAACGGTTCCCCGATTGGCTCGGACTGAAGGTTGCTGATGTGTACATGCCTGTGTTTATTTAAGTAACACTTGAATCAGATAAGTCAAACCCTAAAGATTTGATTTTGTAACAGTCTGAAGCACTGACTGAGCTGACAAGACATCATGCTCTGACTGACTGACTGACTGACTGACTGACTGACTGACTGACTGACTGACTGACTGACTGACTGACTGACTGACTGACTGACTGGATGGATGAGGCTCTGTCCAAGTGTGTAGGCAGAGCATAATGCCTCTGCAGCCCTCCCATTGGCTGAAACAATGAGTGGGAAGGGGCTGGAATGAGGCAACGGCCAACCGGAGACCAGACTGAGTGGGAGTGGGGAGGGGAAACAAGAAGACTCCAAAGAGTTTCAGTCTGAAGTCAACATCTGGATATCCTGAGATGACCAGCTGGTTCTAAATGAGCCAATCAGCCTCTGAAAAGAGGCCAAGAGTTGATGATGGCGTCACAATGAAGACTTAACGATAAGAAAAAAACTTGCTCTGGCTTTAAATACCACTCTATGGGTAAGCACTTGTCTGATTGAATGATCATTTCACTGCAAGGAGTTTGAATATCTGGACTATTTTTTAAACTGACTGGAAAGCGATGCAGCTGGCTCCTGATTGGTGGGTCCTGCAGGCAGAGGCCAATGACTGACAGAAGATGTCCATGAGCGTAAAGAAGAAGAAGTCACCCTCTGTGCTCTCTGACGCTGCCTCTCATAATCATTCTCAGCGCTATCCTTCTTCGACCCCTCCACTACCTCTGAGGTCTCTGCAACTTGTTGCTAGGCAACCACAGGCACCTGTTGTGCTGCGGGAGCGTAAGAAGGCGTCGGCGGTCAGGGAGTCCTGGCCGCGCGCCTCAGCAGCAGCCCACCACAGATCTCTGACTCCACCCTCCAGGGCGCATTCAGTTGCAGAAACTCGGCAAAGGCCCTCCAGTGCACCAAGATCAGACATCGTCTCAATAGCTCCGACTGCCTCAGTGTCCCAGAATCCTCTGCTTCCAGCAGCCTGTCCTCATCGGTCAGTTCCTGCTAGAGCTACGCCCAATGGGCGAGGTTCCGATTTAACCATGATGTCACTACTGCTGTTTTACCACAGGTAACCGTGGGGATCAAATGGTGCAGGTAACAGCAAATATACTAGGGGTTGAACATTTTTAAACTAAAGTGCATATGCATATTTATTATTTATTGATGTTAAATTGATTACCATTTTTGGGAAAGACGATGTAATTCACGTCTTTGCTTTGTTGCTGATTTTTGGGATAGAAGAGACTTTATGAAAATCCACAATAAGTTAGAATTTTATTCAAATTGTGTTATTTGAATCGCTGACGATGCATCTTGCATGATCACTTTACCTCAAAGGAGAACAACTCACATGCATAATGAAAATCTCAAATTTATTTGGCATCTATTTCCATATTAAGTAACTTCTGATCAGAACTTTAGGCCTTGAAAATGGCACAGGTCGGGTCCGATCCACCTGTTACTCTGTCACGCCTGTTCACCTTGCCTGCATCTGTTTCACCTGTGCATCTATTTGCAGCTCTTCCAGTCTTTTGGGCATTGATGGTAAAATTGAGCAGGCAATGGTAAGTCTTCCTGTTTTTGATTTGACCTGTTTGCCACCAGTGTGAATTTTACCTCTATAGCTGCACTTAACTAATTTGCTTTGCTGAATCCGGTATAACTGCTGTAGTCGTAAACTATTACTCTATCTGTGTGATGTTCATGCAGCACCCTCTGCTGGTAGATGCAGATTGACACAGCTGCAGTGTGTCAATCTGCAAGCAAAGTGCTGACTTTTTTTTTTTTTATCTCTCTTTCTGTCTTCACTTGCCCATCCCCTTTTTGTTTTAAATATATGTATTTTGTTTCCCCCTTTCCCTAAATTTGCACATCTGTTTCTGCTTGGCTCCTCAGGATCTGGTGAAGAGTCATCTGATGCTGGTGGTGCGTGAGGAGGTGGAGCTTTTACGAGAACAACTGAAAGACCTGCAGGAGAGGAACCTGCAGCTTGAGAGAGAAAACCACATCCTGAGAACGCTGACCCACAACATCTACTCGCCAACGGGACACAGAATATCTCAGTGATATACTGTGGACAGTCACAGTGTTCTCCTCTTGGACACATGCAGTCTGAAATGAATTGGGCTGGAAAAGTTTCCTTATCCGAAGTAGAAAATGTCATGCAGTAAAAAAAAAACTGAAAAAGTATTCAGGTGATGGAAGGCTAGTCAGCTACGAGGCTAGTCCACTTTTCATTTGATAATAAGCTGGCATGCTAGTGCGATACAATACTGCAATAAAAATTTTTTACTTTTTCCACTTTGACACAGTCATTGCTTAACGTGAAGATCAGCTGCAATTTGTAAGTCAGGAAATAACAGTAATCTCTAAAGGGTCTGGAAAAGCACTGGGACATGCAATGTCTTATGTCATTGTGCAGCTTGTCCTCACATCTAAATCCAAAAGTCCACTCTACTTTTGTCAGAATTAGATTAACAGAATGTGTTTACACTTCACGGCACACATACTTTTTTGTGTGTTGAGCTCAATGCAGCTCAAAACAGCAACAAACTTTACAACAGGGTAGTGCAAAAGTCTAAAGGGTTAATAATCACTAATATTATGCTTCTTCCTACATTTTCAACCATTTTAATCTTCAGCATGATTGTTTAACTGGCTCAATTGATATGACTTCCTCTAATCTGACATTCTCATGTAACAAACTTTTTCCTAGATTTGCTTTCCAGTCAACATGTTTATGAAATTCTCATGACTCGCTGAACTCAAACAAACCTAAAAATGACAGAGAAACCAGAAACTTTGAAACTTAATATACTGTTTTTAATAATCGCATGTCAATTGTTTCGCTTACAATGCCCGTGTCGTAACACCGGGAAAAGTTCACACACCTGAGTGAGTGCTAGCTGCTAAACCAACTCTGTTGTCATGTTAACATGTTTGACACGTTTTGACAACAGGACTTGTTGCTGCTGCTAGAATGACAATGATTATGATGAACTATAATATATAAATAAACTAATGAGGTATAATTATCCAGCTGGGTTGTGTCTGTTTTTTGTTTGTTTGTTTTGTTTTGATAATCTTTTGTAATTTTGTAATTATCACAAATTCAAGTAGCAAGTTTTGCCTCTCTGTGACTTACCAAACATTGATTATTTGTGCTCCCAAAATATTGTCAGATGGTCTGGAGTCCACATCATAAAAACTACAGAGGATATCGTGTTTTATACCAAGTTGATACACAATTTTAACTTAGAAAATGTTTCTGGAGCTTTGATTTTGAATGGTTCTGAGCTCCAGTGAAAACAAGCAGGAGGAGATTTGTCAGTGGAAGATCAAACTCAGAGTAATTAAAGTAGTGTGGGATTATCCTGATTGAATCTCACTCATCAACATTTGTGTCACGAACGCTTCTCACTCAGTGCATTTAGAAATTGTTGCTTTTCAAAACTGATACACTTCTGATATTTAAGTGATATATTTTAATATTCTAACTCATTAAACAACACAGATATTTAGTTCTGCAGTTTTCTTTTGATGAAAAAACAAAAAACACCTTCACATTTACCAGACAGTTTTTCACAGATTATTTTACATGGTAGCGGTCTTCAAAAAGCAGCTTTGACCTATGGTGCTTTATGACATCACTAACAGCTGTGACATAACCGCGCTCATTGCATGCTGGGACCTCAAACTCATCATAACCATCAGGACAGAGCACAGAGACAAGAGTCATTGTAATCTGTAATCCAGAAAGCTCCACCCCCGACCACCATACAGAAACTCAAACAAAGCGAATCTGGAAAACGCAGATTAAGATTCGATCTGGGTGTGTCTCCTACATGTAACTGTGGCAACAGGGGGGATGTTGTGCCGAATATCTGACATAAACTTGCTCAGCTTTAAAAAGAAGAAGAAGAAGAAAAAAGTTTGGTTCACTTTCTCCAGAAATCCTCAGAAGAACTCAAGGAACCAGAAGATGAGTTCTGCATTTGTTTTCACTTTTTCCTATTGATTACCATGTCACTCTTTATCTACACAAATGGTTATCAATATTTAATTATAGCCTTGAAACAAGCTGCTCCTTTCATAGACAAGAAAGTATTTATAGGAACTTAAGGATTTGAACCAGAACAGAGAGGAACATGTGTTACACTGACGATGCATCATCAGTGTAACAATGAAACATAGTTGTCTCTGAATGGATTTAAGTTTATTGGAGTTAAATAATAAATAAAAAAATAAGAAAATCTCGATGGCTCCATCAGTGTTTAGTTTTTGCTTGTTTGTTTTCTTTATGCATAATACTTAATGCCCTCTGATCAAACTTAAAATTTAAGGTTTAACAAGAAACGGGCTGATTATTAAAAAAATAAACACTTTGTGATTTTTTTTTTTTCAGGAACAAAACATGAACATATTTTAATCAGGAACATGTCCGATTGACTGTTTAAACCTCTCAATGAATACAAATTAAAACACTGGTCTGATTTGGAAATCTTATTTATATTATTTATTATTATTATTATTATTATTATTATTATTATTATTATTATTATTATTTTAAACATCACTCCTCCTAACCTAAACTCTCTCCTCTCTTTGTGAGGTTGCTGGCCCTTTAAGACAGGGAGAGGACAGGATGAGCCCATACCTCACACCCCCCAACCCTTCGCCCACCCTCCTCCTCCTCAAACACATTGTTCTGCAGCTGCCGGCGAGGAACCGGTTCCCTCCCGCTGCTGGTCAACCGGCAGAGCCGCTGACAAAACGACACACCGACACACCGTTTGACTGACTGACTGACTGACTGACAGGTAAAGCGACGGGCTAACAGAAACGCGCCCGCCCTACCGCGGCGTCTCACCGGCGGCGCATCTCTTTGTGCGGGTCCAACAGTTCACAGGGGTGGAGACAAAAGGCAAGAGGGCAGTCTGGCGAACCGACACGCGGACACGGAGACGCTATGAGCGAAGGCACGCGCCATGGGAGCGGAGGGCGCGCGCTCAGGTGAATGATCGCCTCGCACGCGAGCAGAACAAAGACAGCCCGGCTGTCATGTCTCCGCCGTCCGTGAGTCCCGTCTCCATCCTCGCGGATGCTGCGCTGCTGTTGTCATGGTAACCATCCCACAGTCTGAGGTCACGATGAAGACGTGGTGGGGAGTGGGATGGGGGGGGGGGCGGAGGAACGTGTTTATTTATTTATTTATTTATTTGGCTGCTTATTCTGTCCGTCTGCGTTTCCTGTTTGCTATTTACCTGTAAGCAAACGCGTGACATCACCAAGCTGTCAGTCAATCACGCGGGATCAAATTCCGCAGGTAGGCAGATAGTCACGTGGCGTTTCTTCTTACGTCAGTCGGCTCGCTTTGTCGTTGAAATATTGAGCTTTTTCAAGAAAAAAAGAAGAGACGTTTGGTTTACAATTAATGCCAGTTGTCCAACCTCACTTATTTACATGCATTATTTATTAATATCAAAACTTTTTGCATCGATTTTTTTTTTAAATTACAACCTTATTCTGGTTAATGTTGGAGATTTTATATAAAACTTTAGTTTTATTTACCACCTTTCTATCAAAATATAAGCGATAAGAATAAGTTTTATTTATTTATTTATTTTTTTTTTCATGCTGCCACTCATGCTTTGCTTTAAGTCATTTTAGGAAATAAAAAAACAAAAAACAGCTCAGTTTTTATTTGCGTTGTAGATGACATCTTGCTTGTTGGTTTTAAATATCAAATGGTAAACAAGGTTTCTGTGCGAGAACCTGTTTAAATCAGCTGGTCAACAGGAAGAGCGTGTAGGAAGGAAGCAGGCTTCCTCTCACATAGACACACACACGCACACACACAGCTGCTTTTGTTTCGCCGTGTGTGTGTGTGTGTGTGTGTTTGTGTGTGTGTGTGTGTGTTCTTGAGCGCGTATTAGCCTCTAAGTGTGGGTGTGTGCGTGTGTGTCCTTATTCTTCATCCTCACAAAGAGTTGAGACAATACGGCATGCTGATATGTTTTGAGAGGGGTGCATGTCGAGGACAAGTGCAGAATAAAAGAGACATTTTTGAATAATACAAACATGAGGAATAAACAATACAAACAAAAAGTCAAAATAAATCGACTGTTTCAGAAAGCAGAACCTAAAGCTGACACAAATCATTTATACTTTACTGTAATAGTGGTTAATATTTTAATTTTTCTTTCCTTTACGGATTGAAATGTCCATTTTTTTTAAATGGTCCTTGAAACCTCCACCGTTTGTCCTCTTTGATTCTACAGATTATGTGAAAAATCTTTGACAGTCGCATTTAAAATGCTCCAAACTCAGAGCAAATAGCAAAGGGAAGTTGAGTAACAGACTCGTGCAATGTCGAGCGGTTTCTCACAAATGGTTTACTAATGATCCTCTTCATCGGCTGTGGGAAAATGACCCGCAGTGTTTAAAGTCCTGTACGCATGATTCAATTGGAGCAGTCAAATTTACCCAAATCAATGAAACTCTGTCAAAGAGCAAACTGAACTTCAGGCAGGTGAAAAAGAGTCGTTTTCTTGAAGTCACTGTCAGGATTTGACTTTTCTGTGTGTTTTTTGAGTTTCTGTGTTGTCCCGTCCATCCCGTGATTGTCCCCAGTTGTGTCTCGTTCCCTGATTATCTCCTGCTTATTTAATGTCACCTGTGTTTCTGTGTCTCATGCTCCATTTTGTCTTGCTGTCCATTTGTGTCTCCACTTGCTAGTGTTGAACCTTAGCTTTTGTGCTGCCTGTTTGTATTTGGACTATTTCTACCTTAATCACCATTTTCTTCACCTCAACCTGGGCTTCACCTTTCTGTCCTTCATTTCATTTCAGTAGTCTTGTTTTTTCTTTTTTTTTTTTTTTTAAATAAAAAGTCTCAAACCATTTTGCAGGTCTTATAGAACTATGCTGTTTTTTTGTTTTTTTTAACATGTTAACTTTCTGTCAGCAAACTGGGTTTCTGTTGTTGATTTATGGTTTATTGTGAAATATGCACTTTTTGTTTTTACCATACTTCTCTGGATGGAGAATCCTGCCTGGGTGGAAGGATTACTCATTTTCCTGAGTGGAAACAGAGCCTTACAAACACATTTTTGTTCTTCCTTTTACACACTGTGTCATGTTGGAAACACAAGCTTCAGCACATTTCACTGAGCTTCTGCGTCACAGAGAGCATAATGCAGTTTCAAATTGGAAAGAAAACATTGCAGGGATTTTTCTTTTTGATTTTGACAAACGAAAATGTCGGAACAACATTTTGCCATTTGTGAATGAGCGTCTATCTAAATCTGTTTAATGTTGCACCGTGAAGTGAAGTGAAACCACATGTCTGTCTGTCTGTCTGTCCAGGTAGCCCAGTGCTGAGGTGTGGCAGCTGGTGATTGGTGGTTATCATGGTGCCCAGGCCGTCGTCCGGGGAGCTATGGGGGCTCCATCTGATGCCCCCGCGGATACTGGTGGACTGCTGCCTCCCCAATGGTGATATTTTGTTTACCTTTATGTTTTTAATCATTTTTCCAGTGTGCGACATATCTCTGTGCCTCAAACATGAAAATAAACTTGAATCATCAAATGACATATTTGTATCTGATCTGTAGTATTGTGTTTCTTCAGCATCTGT